CCCGCCGCCGGGCACGGACCCGCCACAGTGCCACCATCCGGAGGCCGGGGCTGATGTCGCTGCCGCCGCCTTTCCGTGTCTGTCCAAGCAGCTTTCCTCAATCCTCCCCCGAGGACGGGTTTGCTGAGTTGGGAGAGAAGGAAACTTCAACTTGGGCGTCTTTGTCTTGTTCCCGTCTCTTAGCATTCAGGGTGGTGTTAACCGTTGGGTGTTCAGTAAATTACCATTTCGAGAAAGCTCCCCTCTGCCTCTGCTGCACTGAGGATGTCTGGAAGGGTGCTGGACCTTGTCAAACGCTTGGTTCGCGTCGCCCGAACCATTCAGGGGCTCTTCCCCCTCATCCTGTTAGTGGTCGTTTCCTGCTGCTCCACTGTTGCGTGTTAAATCATTTTGAATGAACTTGCCTGGCAGGCCGGCCCGCAGTCCGCCGAGCCGCACCGGCCAGGGCCGCGCCGGGGGCCTTCCCCGGAGGGTCCGCCCCCGCGAGTCTGGTTGTGACCATACGGCTGCACCCTTCAGACTCTGTGTCTTCCTGCCTTTAGCAGGTTCTGTTTTGTTCTGTTTTGTTTTTAACAAAACATAATTATATTTCCGTACACAACTTCTGTGCAACCAAAAAACAAAGCACCACATGAAAATAATAAGAAAAAAGATTCATCTGCAACACGTGGCAAGTGGTGAGCGTCTTCGGCCATAGACGAGGCCCAGAAACAAGCACAGACACACGGAATCCCCACGAACCAGGAGGAAAGCAAATGAAAGGACACAAATGACGATTAGAGGTTAGGGATGCACGGTGGTGCCCTGGCTGGGGCGGCTCAGTGGACTGAGCGTGGGCTGGGTCACAGGTCAGGTCTCCAGTGTGGGGGCCGCGTGGGAGGCAGTTCACACATCAGTGTCTCTCCCTCTTTCTCCCTTCCTTCCCCTCTCTCTAAAAATAAATAAATAAAATATTTTTAAAAAGTTTTTAAAGAGAAAAGGATGCATGACGGGTGAGCCGAACCATGACCGGAGAATAATTTCTCTGCAACACCTGCGGGTAGAAACACCAGCATTTCTCCACTTTGAGCGGCGCTTGGCGGCCTGAAGTGCCACACGGACACCGGACACGGGCCAATGAGCGTTTACAACTGGGGGACAGTTTGTCATTTTCTTGCTGAAGGCAGATGCGTCACAGAGGGAGACGGATGCCGAAGTGAATGGGCTTTTAGCAGCCAGGTCAGCGAGGCTGAAGGCTGGGCTGTCGGAACATCTGCCGCGGAGGTGAGGGCCGGGGGCTTGACGGCACTCGAGGGCGTTCCCTGTTCTCTGCGTTCTCGTGGCTTCCTCCCTTCTGGTCCTTAGAGAGGGTCTCGGCCTCTGCCAGCCGTGCCCCAACCTTATCGTGACTGGGGGGTTATTCACGTGGAGACGGGGCGGAGCGGGGCGGGCTCCACGGTCGTCTGAGCGTCCACAGGTCTCGGCCTTCCCTAAGTCTGTGCCTTGGGGGTGGGGGCAACCCCTCAGGAGCCCTACCAGGCGGGTCTGACCCGCGGCCCAGGATGGCTAGGAATGCGGCCCCACACAAAACTGTAAATTTACTTAAAGCTTCGTGAGGTTTTTGTTAATGTTTATATATTTAACTTGCCCAAGACAGCTCTTCTTCTCCCAGTGTGGGCCAGAAACGCCACAAGGCTGGACACCCCTCTCGGGCCCTGCCACTTCCAGTCTGTGGCCTGGAAGTCCTCCCCTGGTTGATGTCACCTGCTCGCTGACCTGTGCATTACCTCGCCTGAGACTGGAAGGTGGAAGGGGGCTGTCAGGCTGGAGTCCCCCCTCTGGTTGGAAAAGGCCTCGGCACAGCCCCACGGAGAAGGCCCTCCGGGGGCAGGGCTCGGGGTCCGGGGGCCGTCGTCCCCTGCGGGGCCCCCCGGGGGGAGATGCCTGTGTCCACACCCTGAACATGCCGCGTGGTTCCTGGAGGAGAAGCCTGTGGAAGGACAAGCCCCTCTCACGGTCCAGCCCCCAGGTTCTTACTGGGCCTGAAAGCCTTTCACAGAGAGGGGAAGGGAGAGAGAGCAAGAGAAACATCAATGTGAGGAACATAGGCTCCCCCACTGGGGACCAAACCCACCACCTCTCGGTGGTTTGCACGATGACGCTCCAACCAGCTGGGCCACTCGGGCAGGGGCACCCGGGGCGCGGTTTCTGGCATCTGCTGCGGGTCCGGGTTGTTGCGTTTCTCTGTCTCACTGGGTTCCGGGCAAGCTGCTCACCCCGCCACAGGCTCAGGCGGGTCAAGGAAATCACTGATACTCAGTTTGTCCAGATTTTTCTCGTTGTGAGGACGGGAATGACCACAGCTAAGGTCTTACATGTGATTTAAAAAAACAAAATACGCCCTTTCCTCTCCCCAGCACGGACCTGCGTGGTATGTCCATGTCAGCCCGGATCCCAGGCCGTGACCGTCAGGAGCCCTCCACAGCCCCACTGCACAGCCCAGGCCCCCACCGTTAGCCCCCCAGCTGGACGCCTGATGCCCGGCTCCTGCCAGCACCCTCTGTCCCCAGTGTGCCAGCGAAAGACTGGAAGGCACAGCCCGCAGGCTCCAGGTTGAATTGCAGCCCCAGCTGACCCCTGTGTGACCCGGGTGGGTCGCCTGGGCTCTGAGGGACAGCTGGACCTGGTCCGTGGGATGGGCTTCGTGTGGTACAAAGGCCCCTCTGATCTCTCGGGCCAGGTGGGAACGAGAGGGTCAGAAACGCCAGGCCAGGCCTCTTTCCCCACAGAACTAGGCTGGGCCGTCCGGGCCGGGAGGGCAGCCCATGGGTGGGGTGAAGAGGGAGATGGATGAGGAAGCTGGGGCCCAGGGGACACAGAGGAAGCCACGCTTTCCTCCCCATCCTCCCAGCACCGTGCCTGGCCGGCCTCGGCTAGGGCCCCTCCCCTCTCACCCTGATTGCTGTGAACAGGATTCTCCGGGGCTGGGATTGTCCTGCGTGAACGGAACCCCAGGTCCTTAGTGCTGCTGCCCCAGTGGCGGGGGGGGGGGGGGGGCGTCACTGCAGAGCAAGGCCTGAGTCGCCCTGGTTGCTCCCTTCTGGGTGCTCCGGCCTGGCCAGGTTCTCCCCCGCCCCTCCAGTCAGTGTCCCCGCCTCCCCCCAGGACAGGGTTCCCGAGAATTTCCCCAGGGTGAGACCTGGCCTCGGCGACCCTCTGGACCCAAGGCTCACGGTCGAAAAGGAGTCAGAAAACCATGCGCCACCTTTCGCCATTTCGTTCCTTCCACAAGTATTTACTGGGCACCGGCTTTGCTGGGCGAGGTACAGAGTGGCAGGGCCGGCCCTGGGGGTTTGAGCTGCTTCCAGGGAGACACAGGCCGGGCCCCCAGGGGGCTCAGAGGCCCGTGCAGCTGCAGGCGTGGGGAGCTGAGGCCCTGAGACAGGTTGTTGCTTCGGGAGCTCAGGGAGAGCCTGGCTGGGCCTGGGGAGCCAGCGGCTGGGACCCACCTCCCCTCCCCACTCCTTAGGCCTGTGCACCCTGGACAAATGACCCTCGCCAGCATTCAGTCCTCAGTCTCTGTGTCTGAGCAACGAGGGTGACAACTGCTTGCAGCCAGGCTCCAGGACGATTCCAGGATCACGGGTGGAGGGCCCGAGGGGAGGGGCAGAGTGTGGCTTCCCAGGAGGGCTGACCCCGGCTGTCCCCGGTCGGGTTTCTGGACGGGAGTCTGGGTAGAAGCGACTGCGCCGACGGCATGCTGCCTGCGCCCTGCACACTGCCAGCTGGGCGAGGAGTTTGCACAGGGGCCTGCAGACCGCCCCAACCAGACACCGGGGGAGGCGCGTCTGACACCAGGCATGCGGAGTGCCACCCCGTCCCCGGCCTGCACCCCCTTCTGCGCTGGCCATCCCTGGGTAGAAATCCCGTCCTGGGCTGCCTTGGCGTCCCACTTCGGAGCAAAGTGGGGTCCACACCTCAAAGCCCACATGAGCCAGGAGACGCCTGCCCCCCTGAGGGACCAGGCCACCTTTCCCTCCCTATTCTGAACGTTCGGGCTGTGCCCAAGTCATGGCCTTGGGGGTAGGGGGATGAGAAAGACGTCTGTCCTTCCCAAAAGCTCTGCGTCGTGGCTCCTGTTACAGTATGAGCTAGAAAGGCATCATTTTCGGGGGTCGATCTTTGGCAGACACCTGGGCAGCACCTGCTGGCCAGGGCGGCAGGCCGGGTCACACAGGGACAGCTGGCCAAGGCTCTGGCTGACAGGCAGCTGGCCCTGCCTCTTGTTCCCACAGGGAGGCCCCTCGAGGCTCCGGAGACACGACGGCTGCTGGTTCCGCGGCGGAGAGCAGGCTGCGCTGGGGCCAGCGGACACTCCCGGGCTCGTCTGCGGTCCCCCCTGCCTGCTGTCCATCCCCAGTGTCTGTCCCCCGAGTCTTCAAGCCCACACTCATCCGAGAGTTACTCTCACCCTCGGGCAGACTCATCGGCTCCTTCCCGTTCACAGTACGCGGTGCTTCCTTCCCACCAGCTCCCAGCCCCCACTCCTCTCTGGCTTGTAGTGTAAGGAACCGCCGGGCGTGGCCGCCCCGCCGGCTGCCTGGCTCTGGGCTCCTCCAAGCCTTGTGGGGAGATGTGCGGGCACATTTGGAGAGAGCCGGCCGCTTCCCAGCTGGCCTTGGCCACCGGCTGCAGGGTCTGGTCTGGCTGAGCACGCAGGTTCCGGCTTGGTCTCCTCCGCAACAAAGCGCCCAGCCCCACTTGCCTGAACCGTGCCCCCCTCCCTCGTCCCCCAACACAGTCGTCCCATCACAGACAAGAGGTGAAGATTTCGGTCTCAGGTTCTCCCGACTGTGGCCACAAAGATGCCGTTCCCGGTGACTCCCGTGGGGCTGTCCTGCCACTGGGGCTCCCCCCGGGCTGGCCAGGGGCCCCCACTTCGGGCTGGCTGCAGTTGGGGAGACTCTGTCCCCCTGGCTGTCAGAAGTGGGGCCTGTGGCTCCTGCCTGAGTCCAGCGGAGCTACAGGGTCTGCTGCTGTGCAGAGCCCGGGGCCTGGGGGGGCTGCACCCGGGGCTGGCGCAGGTCCAGGACGAGGCCCGGGCACTCGGGGGCCTGTGGACCGTGGGGCGGGCCTGTTGCAGAGGACCGACCACGGGTGGCGGCCCCTCCGGGAGGACTGTCAGGCCGGTTCTGCTGCAGAAGGGGCCTGTCCCCGGCCCTCGGCCACCCGCACAGCCCACTGCTTGTGTCCTGCCCGGGGGGCTGCACGGTGCCGGTCTCGGACCTGCGGTGGATCTGCAGGGCGGCCACCTGGGCCGCACAGCCCACCAGGGTGGGCTCTGTCTCCGGGGGGCTGCCCCTGAGACCCGGCCTCCGCCAATTGTGGGGGCACCCCGCATGCCCGGGGGGCTCCTGAGAGTGGGGCCAGGCGAGAGGCGTGATGACCTTGTCTTTGCCGGGAGCGTCAGTCCCCACAGAGGCCGCAGACCCTGAGGGAGACAAGGAGCCTTCTTGGCAACCTCGGGCACCGGCTTCCCCGGGGACCGGCGCACACCTCGCAGGCGGGTCCCTGGGCCCGGGGCTGCGCCCCTGCACGGCCACTGCTGATGCCTCTCTCTCCCCAGCGCGCAGGCCCGTGGGGTCGGAGTGCACCTGCTGCTGCTCCTCCCGCCTGCCTGGTGCCGAGCCCTCGGCGACCCCGCCGTCCGGCTTCCCTGGACTTGGGCCTTTCCTCTCGGAGCCGGCCGGTCCCCGGAGCGGGGGCGCAGGCTCCCCGGGCGCAGGGGCAGGTGCGGCCCGGAGCTCGGGGCCGCGGCGCAGCCAGTTGACGATGCCCATGGTGATGGCGAGCTCCGTGTCGCAGAGCTTCAGCAGGCACTCCTTGCCCTTCCAGGAGCTCTGCGAGAAGCCCTGGCTGAGCAGGTCCGGGCCCGGCCCCGGGGCCAGGTTCTCGTCGGCCCCGACGTGGAAGCTGCACATGGACAGGGGCGCCCCCAGGGCCGGCCCCGACAGACTCTCCGACAGGCACAGGTCGCCGTCGTCCGGGCCGACAGGGCCCTCGCTGGGGTCACAGAAGAGCTCATAGAGGGCGTCCCCGCTGTGGCTGTCCCGGGGGAAGCAGGCGGTGGGGGTGCCGGGGCTCGGGGCCCCCCGCCTGTCCTCCAGGCTTGGGGAGAAGGCGTCGTAGTAGCCCTCGTCACTTGTGGACAGTGACTCCGGCTGCTCACTCTTGGGGGTGCCCGTGTCTGTGGGGCTGGCCTTGGAGCTGCTGAGGGGGTCCCTGCAGGGCCACAGAGGGAGCTGGGCCAGGCCTGTCCCCGGAGGACCCTCGGGCCGCGGGCCCAGCAGGGCTCGCCGCTGCTGCCACACGCAGTGGTTCACGCTGTCCCAGAACTGCGCCAAGTCCGACACCTCGTTCTGGGCCGGCGACCGCAGCTGGTCCTGGTTGGGGCCCCTGGGCGCCTTGCCGTCCGGAGCCTGGGGTGCCCGGGCCGCGCCGGGCAGACCCGCGTCCAGGATGAGCGGCGGCAGCGAGCTCTCGTCCGCGAAGATCTCCCCGCAGCCGGTGAGGGAGTCGAAGCTCTTGAGCGAGGCCACGTCCTCACACAGGGCCCTGCAGAGCTCGGAAGGCGCCTCCGGCAGGACCTCGCCGTCTGACAGGTCCGGGCACAGGCCGTCCGGCCCGTCCAGCCCCAGGCCCTCACCCCAGGCGGCGAAGGCCTGGCCCCGCCGCCCTCGGGCCTCCGGCGGGCTCCTGGGGGAGGGCAGGCCCTTCTCCGCGCTCCCCAGCGAGGCCGGGTTCTCCGGCTTGTTCCTGCGGAGGTGGAACAGGTTCCGAAAGCACTTCTTGGGCCTCTTCAGGGAGATCCTCTTCCTGGGGAGGCTCTTGGCCACGGCTGGCACGAAGGGCGCCTGCGGCACGGAGTGGCGGTAATCGATCATGCGCTGGCCGCCCGAGGGCCCCGGGAAGCTGGCGCTGCCCACCAGGTGCCCTGCTGCCGCGGCCGTCCTGCCGGCGCCCGGGGCACTGTCCTGGGTCTTGCTTTTCCACACCAGCTTGAAGGGGGCGCCCCCCTCGGGGTCTGGCTGTGTCCCCTTGCTGGAGCCTCGGGGACACCCATGGGTGCTGGAAGCGGCTTGGGGCCCCCCCTCACCAGGGGCCTGCTGCTGCCCTCCCGGTGAGACTGAGCAGGCGCCCAGGTGGTCCCTGGCAGGGGTGGGGGCCGCGGCACCTGGGGGCTTCTCCTGGGAGGCGTGCAGGCTGGATTTGATGAAAGTCTTCCCTCTCTTCAGCTCCATGCTGCCGGCGCCGGGGCTGCTGCAGGGGAAGCAGAGGCACTTAGTAACCCCGTTTCCAGCCCTGTCTGCCCCTCGGTGGGCCGGACCCTCCCTGGAGGCGAGGGGGGGGGCAGGAGCCCCCTGCTCACTCGACAGCCTTTCCAGGCTGCTGACGCCCGGGGAGGTTCAGCCACATGACTAAAGGCGGCAGCAAGGCCACGGCAGAGCCGGAGGTCCAGTGCTCTCGAATCTGGGGTCTCTCGGCGCCGCCCCAGCGCTTGTCCGGCCAAGTCGGACCCCTGTTCCCAGGCCCAGGCACCGTGTGGGCAACACCCCATCCTGATGGGGACGCACCACGGCCCTTGTGAGTGGTGCAGCACCGCCTTCCCGGATGGCTGCACCCGCTGGGGGGCGGGGGGGCAGGGACTCAGGGCTCGGGCGGATGCCATCAGGCAACACGCAGCCAAGCACCTGACGGTGTGTGCAGAGCCGGACCTCTGAGGTGAGGCAGAGCAGCTTGGCAGCGAGCTCCAGGCCAGGACCAGGCAGATGGAGCAGACGCAGGGTGTCGTGGGCCGGAAGAAGCGCCAGGTGTCTCCTCCTGTGCGTGGCCTGACTGGACAGGCTGACGCTCCGGACACCCAGTCTGGGTTTGGGATGGGGGAGGGTGCCTCGGGGACTCGTAGATGTCCGTCCCCATCCCTGGTGTGGGGCTGGGCAGGTGTTGAGAGAGCCAAGAGGGGAGCATGGGCCCGGCCGAGGAGCGTGGCCCCACCCTGAGATCAGGGCAGCCCTGTGGGATCGCCCGAGTGGGCGGGCGGGAGCCGTGGCAGAGGACACCGGTGGTCGGAGACCTCTCCTCTGACGTCTGCGTAGAGGACAGGAGAAGGTCAGGGAGAGGCTCTGGGCAGGGGCGCTGAGCAGAGGCAGGGAAATGGGCTGAATGTGTGTATATGTGTGTGCATAAATGTTTATATGGGTGTACATATGTATGTTTACATACACATGCATGCTTTTATAAGGCCCAGATGGAGGCTGCGGCTCTGAGTGTGGAAAAGGGATGTCCAGTTGGGGAGACGCTGGGCCTTGGTGCCAAAGGAGGAGCAGGCCAGGGTCACAGCGGGGTCGGGGAGACAGGTCAGTGGCAAGGGGGCGGGGAGTCGGGCGAGGAGGAGGAGGGGCCTGTGCCCAGAGCGGGTCCGAGGCGGAGGAGCCCAGTCTCATGGTCCACATGCCGCCTTTGGGGTGAGCTTGGAGACCCAGACGGCCGCACCCAAAGAGGGCAGGCGCCCCGGCTGCATGCTCCCACCCGCAGGCGGCCTGGTCTCCTCCGCTCCTGGGCGGCGGGGGCCTACGGGTGGGACCTCTGTCTGGGGGGGGGAGCGCTGGAGGCTGGTGTTGGCGGACTCAGCACAGGTTGAGCCTGAGTTCACCAGGCTCTGCTATGGCCTGCACACCTCGCGCACCCACCTCCCATCGTCCAAACGCCCATTAATGGTGAACGCACTAATCAAAAAATAACTGTGTCTTCGTGGGGGATTTCAAAAGCAAGTCAAAATGAAGGTTAAAAGAAAGCATGTAGCCGACACGGGTGTGGACTGAGGCCAGTGTCGTCTCTGTGGGGGGGAATTTCAGAGACATTCTCTGCAAGAGCTCTGTCGAACTCACTCTTTTCTGTTTTTGAAAAATGTCTTTATTACCATACTCTCGGAAATGACTTCCGCCAGGCGTGGTAAAGCTTATTTCACCGCGTGCAGAATTCTGCAAGCACAAGGACGAAGATGGTTCATTTCCTGTTGACCTCTAAATAAAATGCCGTGCTTCTGAATTACTGGAACAGCTAACCAAGTTAAAATCGTGAACGGTGGGAAATTACAGTGCACCCTGAACCGGGAAAATGATCGCTCACCCCAGTGATACGTGGCTGGATTCGGTCGCTAGTGTCCAGAGCTAAGTTAATTCGCTCAAGCCCGTGTCCCGAGCTAGTTTAACACTCTGCGAGATCGGAGAGTAAGCACTAGGGTCCAGGGCAGTGACCCGGAGACTTGCAGAGTTCAGCAGCAACCGTGTGAAGTCGAGGGCGTGTTCGGCCCACTCGGTTTCCACGTTATGTATAAAACTTTCTCTGAGCCTGACCTTTGGAAACACAGGGTCCGTATGTGACAAGGGCAGGAACTTCCTGAGGGTCAGAGGGCCCAGGGCCTGAATGGAGACTGGCCGACAGCCCCCCTCTGTGGGTCCGAGGGGATTCCTCGGGACAGCCAGAGGCTGCCGCTGCCTCTGAGGGCAGAGGCCCCAGGTGTCCAGGTTCTCGGCGGCCACCGTGCACATTCTGCTTTGTGAGCCTATATCGACAGACCCCCTCAGGGGGCCCAGCATGACACCGTGAGCCACATCCCTTCCTGAAGGATGAAGCAGACCTGTGCCCCCGCCCCCGCCCCGGAGTGGGGACTCCCCGGCTGTAGCCCTCGCTGGCCCCTGGGGACTTTGCTGCACCCTTGGTCCCCTGGCTCCTTGGAGAGGCTGAGAAACTCTCCAGGGCTCCCGACTCCCACCACAGCGGACCACAGCTGCTACTTCAGACGGGGGAGTGACATCCTACCCGTATAGTTACACCCGCGCTTCCCGAAAGGCCTGACCCAGGCGGCCCGCGCAGGCGGCCAGTGGGACGGGGCTGGGCCATGGGCACGGCAGCCACACTGGCCCGAGGCGGCCGAGAGGGTCCTGGCCTTCATCGTGCGTGTGGTGGGGAGACAGACAGGAAGGGTGAATGACGGGAGCCCAGTGCCAGTTTTACCGGTTACTCCAACTGTGGGCGAGAGCCGGGCGGAGGTGGGAGCTCAGAGGAGGAGCCACACCAGTGTCCGATGGGGAGAAGTGGTGGCTGGGACGCTCCCCCCCCCCCCCCGCCCCCGACACGAACCTTCCTTCCCAGCGCCTGACACAGAGATGCACGCGCACACACACTGACTGCAAATGGGGCAGATCACGTCACCGCACCGGCTGCTGCTCTGCGTGGTGACTGACGGACTGGAGCGTCCCTTCTCCCTGCGCCGGGGTAACTCTGTGCTCCCTCCCTTTGTAACACAACAGTGCCTGCGTGTTCCACAGGGCACAGGAAAAAGCCTGAATGCAGGTGTGCTGCAGAAACGGTGTGAGATACAAAGATTTTGACCAGTGGGTTGGGTGTGTGTCTCCTGTCCCCGCCCCGCCCCCACCATCCAGGACAACCACCAGCCTCCAGTACAATGGGGTGGGCGGTGGTAGGCAAGCAGAGGTGGCTCAGGGGAGACCCGCCCAGGGACGGACGTCCCGGGCAGTGGGTGTCCGGGGGACAAGCTAAGCAGGGGGCAAGAGGTTCTTTCTGTCTCAGGCTGCCCGAAGCCTCTGACAGATGACGTGGAGGCCACTGGGGGAGGGAAAGCCTCCGCGTTCCGGGTGGGCGTGGGGGAGGGAACGAAGCGGGGACGGGCTTTGCACTGGGTCTCTCCGGCCACCCAGCCCCACGCTGGGGAGACAAAAGGGTCTTTGCGCGCCAGGCTCTGGCCCAGCTCCCCTGGGGGAGCCTTTAGGGGGTCCTGGCTGCCCCATCGGGAGAATGGAAGCTACGTCTCCACTCTTACCCATTCTTTCCCCACTCCCGCAGCCGCGACCGCGGGCTGAGTTTCTTCCCCTTCTCAGCCCAGACCCGCAAGGGTCATCGCCCCCAGACCCCGGACCCCGGCCATCCGAGCAAGGCACCACGCGGTGGAGAGAGTATGGACCTTAGTCCCTCCCCGCGTGCCTCCCGTGACGTGAAAGGACGCGCAAAAATTCCCAAATCACCCTCCACCCCTTCCCCGCGGCCGACATCCTCGGGGCCTTGGCGACTTACCGCGGGGGCCGGGGGTGTCGCAGGACGCGGCCTCCGCCGGGCCTGGAGAGCCGCGCGCTCAGCACCACGGCCAGCTCCCAGCGCCGCGCGTCCCCGCCGGGGCGCGGGTGGGGGACCGAGGGCCCGCGTCCGCGCGCCGCCGCGAGTTCGGTTGCGCGGCCCGACCGCGGGCGGACTGGGGAGGACGCCCCGCGGGAGGGTGACGGGGCGCGGCGGGCACCAGCGGCGAGCGCACCGGTGGGAGAGGTGACGCTCCCGAGGCCACAGCCTGGATGCGCCGCCGCCGCCCTGGCCCCACAGGGTCTCGCTTTGTTCGTGTTTCTCCGCGTCCCTGTCTCCGCGTGTCTCTGCCTCCCGCGGGGATGTGGCGCCGCGTCCCGCGCCCGGCAGGGGCAGCGGCGCGGTGGTCTCTGGTCGCCCCCCGCCCTTGTCCGCGCGCCGCGGCCCCAGCTCCTCGCCGCGCATAGGCGCAGATGCCCGAATCCCGCAGCCCCGAGCCCGGGCAGGGTGAACCCCAACCCTCGGAAGGGCGCGGTCCCAGGGGACCTGGTCTCGAGTCTTACCCGGGATTCGGAGACGAGGAGCAGGCCGCTCTCGGGAGGCAGGGCAGTCTTCCAGAACCTTCTTTACGGAGCGCCCCTCTTGGACCCGGCGGTAGCACTAATGGGGACGAGGGAGGCGCGTCCCCTACAGGTGCTCCCCGAGCGGGGTCTGCGGGCGCGGCGGCCTGCCGCAGTCTCGGGGGAGGAGCAGAGGCGGTGCGCGGACTTGCTCCCCCGGAGCTGAGGACCCAGGGTCTGCGCGCTGGGGGGCGGCCGCAGCGCAGGGACTCGGTGACTGACGACGGCTCGCGAGCAACGCCCGCCTGAGCGGGGAGGCGGCGACCCCACGGAGAGCGGTAAGTGGGGCGCGGAGGGGCCGGTCCCACGCGGCAGAGACGAAGGAGGGAGGTGTCACCCAGTCCTGGCTCGGGCGGAGGGGGGCCCCCCGCACAGGTGCAGGTTCCTGCGAATGACAAAGGCCACGCCTTTCCTTGAACCCTGGGGCCTCCCCCTCCCCCCGTGCCCCTCTCACAACAATTAATTAGTGAGTAATTTAACATTAAAAAAACTTAGACACAGAAGGCGTCCACCTTGGTTTGGACCGTTAACCCACGCGCCG